CCAGCCCTATTCACCCCTTTCCCTTTGCCACAGGGAAGGTCCCAAGCACCCCATCGCCTCCCGCCAGCCCCACCAAGAGCCGGGCCCTGCAGAAGGTGAAGTCCCCGGGCACCGTGCGCCGCCTCTCCATGAAGATGAAGAAGCTTCCAGAGCTCCGGAGGAAGCTGAGCCTCCGGAATGCCCGTTCCCGAGGCCATGAGGAGGGAGCATCCCCCTCGGAGAGGAAGGAATCCAGCAACGTCATCAGCCGCTACCACTTGGACACCAGCGTGGCCTCGCCACGGGCCAAAGCCACCACCAGAGGTGGCTACTTGAGTGATGGAGACTCTCCAGAGCTTCCCGTGAAGGCCAAACCACGTTGTGATCCAGAAGAGGTGGATCTGGGCTTGGATGTGGGCTCTTTCCACCCTTACAGCAGCGGGGAGATGCCACCACGCTGCGGGCAGCGCATCTCAGGCTTGGTGAGCGTCCACCTCCATGGTGTGAAGGACCTGAAGCCACCCCGAGGCGACGGGCGGGAGGTCTTCTGCGTCTTGCAGGTGGACGCGGCCAAGCGGGCCCGCACGGCGCTGTTGTCCTGCAAGACGGGCTCCCTGGGGCTCAACCACACCTTCAACCTGGAGCTGGAGGGTGCCCAGCACCTCAAGGTGATGGTGTTCTCCTGGGATGCCACCTCCTGCCGCAACCGGCTCTGCTGCCACGGCACCGTGGTGCTGCCACACATCTTCCGAGGTAGGAGGACGTGGGGCTGGGGGACATGGGTTGGGAGGGTGTTGCGTGGTGCTGGGGTCATGGGTGGGGGGTGTTGGGTGCTTGGTGGCGTGGTGATGGCAACGTTGGGCTCCGCAGGGTGCCGTGCGCAGCAGTTGGCTGTGAGGTTGCAACCACGGGGTGTCCTCTACTCCAAGTTCACCTTGGTGGAGCGATGGGAGCGTCCCAGTGAGCAGGAGCCCCGTGTCTTCGGTGTGGAGCTGGGTCAACTGGTGGAAAGGGAGAAGACGGCCACCAAGGTGCCGTTGATCATCCAGAAGTGTGTGGCTGAGATAGAGAAACGTGGCCTCAAGGTGAGTCCTGCTCGTGGTGATGGAGGAACCCACCCCAAACTGGTGTCTGGGGCGGGTTGTGGTGGAGGAACCCACCCAAAGTGGTGTCCCCATCATGGTTCCTGGGGGTTTGGTGGAGGAACCCACCCAAAGTGGTGTCCCCGTCATGGTCCTTTGGGGTTTGCTGGAGGAACCCACCCAAAGTGGTGTCCCCATCATGGTTCCTGGGGGTTTGGTGGAGGAACCCACCCAAAGTGGTGTCCCCATCATGGTTCCTGGGGGTTTGGTGGAGGAACCCACCCAATGTGGTGTCCCCATCATGGTCCTTTGGGGTTTGGTGGAGGAACCCACCCAAACTGGTGTCCCCGTCATGGTCCATTGGGGTTTGGTGGAGGAACCCACCCAAAGTGGTGTCCCTGTCATGGTCCATGGGGGTTTGGTGGAGGAACCCACCCAAAGTGGTGTCCCTGTCATGGTCCATGGGGGTTTGGTGGAGGAACCCACCCAAAGTGGTGTCCCTGTCATGGTCCATGGGGGTTTGGTGGAGGAACCCACCCAAAGTGGTGTCCCTGTCATGGTCCATGTGGAGGAACCCGCCCAAAGTGGTGTCCCTTTCATGATCCATTGGGGTTTGGTGGAGGAACCCACCCAAAGTGGTGTCTAGTGGTGGTTATGATAGAAGAACCCACCCCATATGGTGTCTACTGGTGGTGAGGTGGGATTTGGTGGTAGAACCCCCCCATCCTGGTCTATACTGGTCTATCCTGGTGTCCCCATGCAGGTGGTGATGGTTGAACCGCCCTATACTGGTCTATACTGGTGTCCCCATGGAGGTGGTGGTGGTAGAATCCCCCCATACTGGTCTCTGCTGGTCTCTACTGGTCCATACTGGTGTCCCCATGCAGGTGGTGATGGTAGAACACCCCTATACTGGTCTCTACTGGTCCATACTGGTCTCTCCCCGTGTCTGATGCAGGTGGTGGTGGTAGAACACCCCTATACTGGTCCATATTGGTCTATACTGGTCGATACTGGTCTATACTGGTCCATACAGGTCCATACTGATCTATACTGGTGTCCCCATGCTGGTGGTGGTGGTAGAAGAACCCCCCCGTACTGGTCTCTACTGGTCCCTACTGGTCCCTACTGGTCCATACTGGTCCCTACTGGTCTATACTGGTCTATACTGATCCATACTGGTCCCTCCTGGTGCCCGGAGCAGGTGGTGGGCCTCTACCGCTTGTGCGGCTCCGCTGCCGTCAAGAAGGAGCTTCGCGACGCCTTCGAGCGCGACAGCGCGGCCGTGACCCTGTCGGAGCAGCTCTACCCCGACATCAACGTCATCACGGGTGGGTGCCCCCCTCTGGGTGCCCCCCACTGGGTGCCCCCAGCTCCCATGTCCCGCACTGATGGTCCCACGGTGGCCTCTCTCCGCAGGGATCCTGAAGGATTTCCTGCGGGAGCTGCCCACGCCGCTCATCACCCCCCGGCTCCACCACGTGGTGCTGGAGGCCATGGCCAGGAGGAGGGAGCAGGACGCGGTCACCCTGCTGGAGTGTCTGCCCGACGTCGAGAAGGTGGGTGCCCGGTGGCAAAAGTGGGTGCCTAATGCTAAAAAGTGGGTGCCCAGCATCAAAAGTCAGAGCCCATCATCACAAAGTGGGTGCCCAACGTCACAAAGTGGGTGCTGGGCGTCAAAAGTCAGAGCCCAACATCACAAAGTGGGTGCCCAATGCCAAAAAATGGGGGCCCAGCATCAGAAAGTGGGTGCCCAGCATCAGAAAGTGGGTGCCCAGCAACAAAAAGTGGGTGCCCAACGTCAAAAGGGGGG